TGTGTGTGTGTGTGTGAGTGTGAGCGTGAGAGAGTGTGAGAGTATGAGTGTGTGTTTGTGAGAGTTTGTGTATGTGTGCGTGTGTGTGTGAGTGAGTGTGTGTTTGTGAGAGTGTGTATGTGTGAGTGTGTGTGTGTGAGTGAGTGTGAATGTGAGTGTGTGCGTGAGTGTGTGTTTGTGAGAGTGTGTGTGTATGTGTGTATATGTGTGAGTGTGTGTGTGTGTGTGTGAGTGAGTGTGAATGTGAGTGTGTGTGTGTGTGTGTGTGTGTGTGTGTGAGAGAGAGAGAGAGAGAGTGTGAGAGTGTGTGTGAGTGTGCACCTCCAGAGTGCAGCGGTGCTCTCCTCACAGTCCTTCAGTGTCAGCGTCAGTCTCACACAGCTACACTGCGCCAGCAGCAGCTCTTTCTGAAACTTGCGTGACGCTTGTTCATTCGACAACATGCTCGGCTGGCAGATGTACTCCTGAAATACAGCAGAGGGAAGCGCCACAAGCACACAGATCATCAGGATCATCACTTCCCATGATCCTCTGAAATCTTTCATGACAACACGAAAACAGAGAGTGAACACGTTTCAGCTTTACCATACTTGAGCTCGATGCATGCATGTTGATCAGTGTTTATTATTGAATTCATTCCGTTGATCGTATCACGCGATCGGATTAAACCACTCCATTCACATGGTTTACCGTTAAGACGCCTTTATGAACTTTTCGAAGCATCTAAGTTGTGCTTACGTGGACTTTGAATGGAGGGACCGAAATCTCTCAGGTTTCATTTAAACACATCATGTGTTCTGAAGATGAATAAAAGTCTTACGGGTTGTCAGTGAACTATGCCTTTAAAGGTGAATCAGCTAAAAATAACCAGTGTGAGAGACGAGTGAAAAGCTGTGACCTGCATTAAGAGCAGACTGTACCTGCAGGGTGCTGACTAACAGCTGGTACCACTGCAGACAGTGTCTCAGGACGCCGGCTCTCTCCACGGCGAGGCAGTGTTTGACGGCGTCCTGGAGCCGGCCCTCGGCGCTGTAGAGCTGCACCAGCTTCTGGTTGATGTAGGTGTTGGCGGGCCGCAGCTTGAGCTCCGCCTGCAGCAGCTCGTACAGCTGGTTGGAGCCGCTCTGAGCACTCAGAAGCTTCTCCTGCGGCAGAGAGGACGCGTGAGACGCAGCACAGCGCATAACTCTTCAGCTCATGTGATGCACACACACTCACCCTCAGACTGAAGACGCCCGGGTGTCCCGGCAGAAGCCTGGCAGCTTTCTCCACCCAGAATTCAGCTCGGCTGTCATGCTCCGGTTTACTGCACAGCAGCTCGGCCACCTTCAGGACCAGATCGTGCTGAGCCGGATTCAGATCCACCGAGCGCTAGGAGTCCAACACACACTGTCAGTACATCACACGTCTTACTGCGCCTGATAAAGTGTCTGACAGTCTGAGGCAGGCCTCTCACTGCTCGCTCTGCTGAGACTAACTCGCACGAGCACATGATTTGGTTGCACTTTTTTTTTAAACACGGGATTAATCAATGCATGCTGATGAACAGCTTTTATTTTATCGTAGTTTATAGTTATATAGTATGGCAACAGAAGTGGTTAACATTCAACCCGTTCTTTTTCATCCGTGTTGTTTGTGAACTGAATTTTGTGAACTTTTGCGGTCATGAGCCGGGCTTCGGACGTTTTCACTGTTGTGATCTTGGTGTCACGTTTTACAAGAAGAGATAATTGTCTGTTGTGCTTACATCTATACAGCTTTCAGTTTATAAGACTAAACAAATGTTTGATAGATGGATTCATTGTTATTCTTAATCGAAAAGCACAACAATAAAACCATAGGCTACCATGCCAAACTAGCTTTAAAAAAAATGAAAAGAGCCTCCATTAGTGTAGCGTGAGGTAAACAGCAAAGATAACAGGCTTTTCAAAATAAAGACAAAAGAAAAGTAAAACTAAACTGGCTGTCGGTGACAGTGCTTGCATGTTTGTTTTTCATGAAAACCAACATGTTCACTTCTGTGGTTTAAGAAGCGGTCTTTTACTTTACGTTCACTTGAAAACCAAATCCTCCACCCGCTATTGTTTCCTCAGTATTCCTGTCATTTTTGGCAGGAGAGAGAGAGAGATAACAGCCTGTTACCACTGCATCCGGACTGCACAAGATGAGCACACAAACCCCTTCAAAGATTTCATTATCAAAATATCATATGCATTGCACAACAGATTTGATAACACTATAATATGGATATTTATTCCCAGTCCGACGATTAATGCATGATCACATTAAACTCGAGCTCGAGAGTGTGTTTAAGAGCATGCATTAGGAGAACATGTGAGAGCAAACGAGGAGAGTCCAAACCTTGTAACATCCCACAGCTTTGTCCGTTTCGCCGTCACGCTCAAACAGCTGCCCGAGGAACTTGTGCGCTTTAGGATCCTTCGGCTGGACGGTCAGATACTCCGAAACATGTCTGCCATTGAAGTGTGTGAGAGAGAGAACATCAGCTCATCCGAGAGGAAGCAGACATCAGACAATGCAGCAGGAGCACAGAGACCAGCCTACCTTTTAGCCAGCTCATACTCCTTAGCCTCAAAGTAGAGTTTAGCAAAGAGAAATCCTTTGACGGGCTTCTGCAGAAACAACACAGCTCAGGGTCATGACATAACACCCCTGCAAACCCTAACGATCACAGTAACCCCGCACAGAGAACTACATCATCTATTAGATGAACATTCTAGCCGAACGCACACATCTGTGCTAACCGTTATCTATGGTATCTGAGAACAGATTTATCACCACATGTTCTTAATATAATTTCTAAATTCTCCATTAAATTATGTGATCTGAAGTGTCGGTTTTCTTCCACGTGCACGAGTGTTATGAGTCAGAGCGTTAACTCTCTAGATCTTATGTGTTTAAAAAAACGAGTGAAACATTTTTCTACACATGAAATATGAAAGCAAATAGATATATGATTATGTCGGCAATTCGCCTCACTTTTTGGCATCGCACTCGGTGTGAAACGGCCTTAACACTCACACACACACACAGTGATCTGAAGTGTCGGTTTTCTTCCACGTGCACGAGTGTTATGAGTCAGAGCGTTAACTCTCTAGATCTTATGTGTTTAAAAAAACGAGTGAAACATTTTTCTACACATGAAATATGAAAGCAAATAGATATATGATTATGTCGGCGATTCGCCTCACTTTTTGGCATCGCACTCGGTGTGAAACGGCCTTAACACTCACACACACACTCACTATAACACACACACTCACACACTCACTATAACACACACACTCACTATAACACACACACTCACACTCACTCACACTATAACACTCACACACACACACTCACACTATAACACTCACACACACACACTCACACTATAACCCCCCATAACACACACACACACACTCACTATAACACACACACTCACTATAACACACACACTCACACACTCACTATAACACACACACTCACTATAACACACACACTCACTATAACACACACACTCACACTATAACACTCACACACTCACACTATAACACTCACACACACTATAACACTCACACACACACTATAACACTCACACACTCACACTATAACACTCACACACTCACTATAACACACACACTCACACTATAACACTCACACACACACTCACACTATAACACGCACACACACACTCACTATAACACACACACACTCACTATAACACGCACACTCACACTCACTATAACACACACACTCACTATAACACACACACTCACACTATAACACTCACACACACACACTCACACTATAACAC